TTCTTCTGCTGACAGGAAAATGTTCCTCAAAGCTCCACAGATAAAAAGATGCTTTACTGGAAACTGCAGAGAAACTTCAGCTTCCATCACAGAAACCAGTTTAACCAGTTTAGAACTGGATGTCCCACAGAAACTCTGATTGTTTTTGTGTTTTACTTTTTTAACTCCATGTTTTATGTTTTACTTTAAGTTTTCTAAAGAACTTTAGGACTCGATGTGTCACATCAGGATCTTTACTGTGATTTTATTGACTTATTCAGACCTCAGAGAATCACTGGGATAATGTGCTGATTGGTTCATGTTTTTTTATATTTACTCGAATGTAATGTGGGTTATTTGGTTAATAAAGATTTTTAAAAATGTTCTTTGTACAAATATAATAACTGCACCTTTTATTTTAATCCTTCATGCTGTTTTTGTATTCGGATCAACAAAGAAAGTAAGATATATTTAAGTTTTCATTTTTACTGTGACATGTTTATTTAGTGATAGAACCATCCTGTTCAGTTGATTTCAGCTTTTTAAGCTTCTAATTTAGACAGCAGTTTATTTTGCATTATTTAGACCAAGTTAAATAAAATACACGAGCTAACTGGTTTCCCAGTGATATAAATGAAGGCAGATTCTTTTCCTGGGTTCACTTCAATGTTTTCTCTGTCAGAGTGAACGAGAAGCAGCTCCACAGAGACTCTGAGCTATGCTAGCGATGCTAACAGATTTTAGCAGCAGTTTGTTTTAAACACAAACTGATTATCAGGAGCTGCAGATCTAAACTCTGATGCTGAACAATGGAGTCTGTCCTTCAGTTCACTGATAATCAGTCATAATTTTATAATTAAACCGATTCATCATTGAACAAGTTTTAAGGATTTTAGTGTGTAGTTACAATGTGTGACCAGAGGAGAGCGGTAGAGAGCGAGTCTGGCAAAAACAAAAATGTAGAAATAATCTTCTGTTTTCTACAGTTTAATATTTTTCAAAGCTTCATTGATTTGTTAATTTTATTAATTGTTCTTTAGGTGGTTCCACCTGCTTGAGGTCCTGATCTCAGCTGGTTGAAGCTTATCAACAATAAATGTTTTTAGTTTAAATGTTTATAGTTTTTCCAGACTTTGACTCAAAATTACCCAGGATAGGATATTTTCATCTAAACTGGCTCAGAGTTCTGGTATCCCCAGTTGCAGATGCTGTAAGTCTTGCATGGATTTAAAAAAAATAAATTTTACCAATGCTTTAAAGTAAAATTAATCAAGACAGAAAATAGTTTTCCAGTCTTGGAAGGTAAGTTTATCCTTTCATGATCTACACGTATGAAAATGGTTCAACAGTCCTAAAGGTGCAGTCAGAACTATAGAGGAATCGTTTAACTCAAAGAACATTCATGTGTTAAAATGACCTAGTCAAAGACCAAACTTGAATTCAAAACTAAATCAATAACTAAAAATAATAACTGATGATATCCACAGACTCTCACCATCTAATTTGACACATAAAATCCAGAGACGCTCACATCAAAGGGCATTTTAGAGAGATTTTCTTTTGTTCTTCCTATTTTGAGCTTCTTTAACTAAGAGTCATTTTATGGCCACTTTAAATCCAAATGTGCTGCACCTAGCTACGCTCCCTGACTCAATGTTTACACTTGTAAATGAAAATCGCTGCCAACAGATGTGCAATAGTACAACTGTACATCCTTGAATAGTAGAAGTGGAACCTCCTTCACAACCAACAAGAACGCAGCAACTGGTTTCTGTATGGTAAGCCAACAACAAAACACTTGTCTTTTCCAGCAGCCATTGTATACTGCATAAATCCAGCTGACCAAATGTGCTGGAGTTCAGCTTGGGTTGCTAGGTAACGGAGCTGGGCTCTGGTAGGGTTGCTAGGTAACAGCGAAACATTTTCCAGACAACAAAAAACATTAGTCGCCAAAAACGACAAATGGGAGTGTTTTAAGAAGCAGTGATAACCCAAACACAAGTAAAAATGTGCAAAATGTGAATTTTGCATAATGGAGCCCCTTTAAATATAAAACACTACATAATGCTTTCTTGAGGCATCGGATGCTAATGATAAAGATAATAGTGTTATTACTG